CTCTCTCTCCTCTCTCTCTGTCAAAAATAAATAAAACCTTAAAAAAAAACCTGTAGGATATAAAGACAAATGTTTACACATCAGTAAGCAAAGGAATATGGAGAGTATAGGTGTGTTCATCAAATCCACATCAAATCCTGATCCTGAGTTTGGAGAGACTAGTTTTTAGGTAATTAACAAGCAAGCAATCAGGGATCTCTCAGTCACTCTCCACAATGGGCTTGTGCAATGGGGAATATAGAAATTTCACAAGATGTAGTCTCTATTCTTAGAGATTTACTGGGGGAGAAAAGAAACAGTGAGGGATAAATGATGGCACAAAGAGGCTAATATGTTTCTCAGAGTAAAAACTTGCCATTTGGGTTTAAAGGAGGAGGAAATCAATGGACTGGAGCTGAATTTGCAGAGACAGGGAAGGTGTGGAAGTTCGAGAAAAGAGGCTGTCCCAGGGAGAAGTGTGAGTGGAACAGGTTTAAAGTGGGGATCAGCTCAGTGAGTGAGAATGAAGAGCAGAGGGGCAGGTGAGCAAGACTCAGGTGTGGGTTAAGACAGATGACAGAGAGCTTTGAAGGGGCCGGAAGAATTGAGATGTGAAGAACTGAAAACAGGGAGCCATTGAAGGTTTTTGAGGAGGGGAGTGGTGTTGTTGAAACAAGGCTTAGGGCAGATGGGGCTGACAACAGTGTGCAGAGTGGGCAAGAAGAAGAGAGATCAGGGGGTTGGGACTACAGACTAAAATAGAGCAAAACCACCGTTAACGAACTAATGAGGATGATAATCCTAAGAGATGGCCGGAGCACAAAATAACTTTTGAAGGATTTGGTTTTAAAGTTAAAATGTCAGATCCATAGTGTGTTGTTTCAGAAATCAGTCCCTTGGATTCACACCTTCAACATCCCCATCCGAACACAGAATTGTAAATGCTAAGTGTGTGTTCAAGATGATTATTTTGACCTCCATCTTCCTAAGTTCTGTGTCTCTCTCTCAACTGGTTCAGAACTTATAAGGGAAATAACAGGTTGTATACGTTAACCCAATTCTCCCCAGACCTCATCAGGAAGCATCATGCCCTTGACCATTTTGAGGGCCTGGGTCTGAAGCATCACTGGAAGCCCAATGTGGTCCCCAATCTTGGGGGCCTTTGTCATGATGATGCCTCAAGGGCAGACAGGAGGGATGTCACATTGAAAGACTCTACAGACCTTCCATTTCATAGCTTCAAGCTATTAGCGGCAGTTACCTCAGTGCCTCAGCAGTAGATAGTACTATTATAATGTACTATAATGGCTATGCTGGGTACTAGGATCATGAAGGAAGGAAAGGAATTTGGTTAAGTGAAAATAACCAGCACCCATCACATTCTGCTAGAGAAAAACGGGTTGTGAAATAGGGTTTCCAGATAAAAATATAGGATACTCATTTAAATTGGAATTTCAGATAAATAATATATAAATGTTTGGAATGTCTCTCAAATATTTCATGTGACATACTTATACTAAAAAATATTCATCGAAATTAGAATTTAACTGGGTTTCCTGTATTTTATCTGGAAATCCTGGTTTGTGGTCAAAAGTCCTGGTTCTCAGAGCCAAACTTAGCACACACTGAGATGAATGGACTTAAACAACCAGGTAACTTCTTTAAGCCTGTTTTTGCAAGGACCATGTAGAAATAAAATCATCTTGTAGGTTTAAAGTTCTGTAAATGTACTTATTGTTGTCATATTTTTGTTATTTGGCCCTTCTACTTTGCAAGCTTGGCAAGAAAGTCCATGCATTATTCAATTTTGACTCCTCAAAGCACCCCAGAAGGGCCTTGACCTATTGAAGGAAGTGTCACATATTTATCAAGACCGTAACAAAGTATTCTCACCTGAAGTCTATCACCTGGTGGCGTCTCACCCTAGATGCTCTAAAGACTCAGTCAGTCTATCTGGCAAAGCGAGATGGAGTGCTGTATGTTCCCAGGTAGCAAGACATTGGAAGTCATGATTACATGAACCCAGGGAAAAGCTGGGGGTAAGACTAGAAACAGTTGAAGACGGAGCTGCAGGTTTGAGACAGGGAGATCATGCAGAGGTATCTTTTACACCAGCACTTCTCACACTTACCTGGTCATCAGAGTCACCTGGGGATCGTGTTAAAATGCAGACTATGAGGGGCGCCTGGGTGGCTCGGTCGGTTAAGCGTCCGACTTCGGCTCAGGTCATGATCTCGCAGTCCGTGAGTTCAAGCCCCGCGTCGGGCTCTGTGCTGACAGCTCAGAGCCTGGAGCCTGTTTCAGATTCTGTGTCTCCCTCTCTCTGACCATCCCCCGTTCATGCTCTGTCTCTCTCTGTCTCAAAAATAAATAAACGTTAAAAAAAAATTTTAAAAAATGCAGACTATGATTGCAAAGCCAATCACCACTCCTTCGGAAATGGAGGGTCTAACACAAAGAGACTGTGGCAACCAGTATGGGCTATTCACGGCAGTTTCTCTCGTTAAATGGATGACGACATTATTCACAGGAGAGCCAAAGCCAGTGATTCTCAGGAATGACTGCACGTTGGGAGTTATCTTGAAGCTTTGAAAATCCACCTGTGCTCAGGCTCATCCCCAATTTACTCAATCTCTGGGAGTGGGATCTGGGCACCCTTTTTTTTTTTTTTTTTTGTATTTGTTTTTATTTTTAAAACTCTCCCTTTTCTAAGCTGTTTATGGCAATGTTATCCTTTCTGAGGCATTGATTTGGACATAAGGTATGATTCCATTCTGGCCCATGAGACACAAAGAGCTGGGCGGTTTGGGGTAGTATTTTGGTGTTGACAACACAGGGGAGGAAAGACTGTTCTTCAGCTCAACATTGTCCCATCTGCTTTTGAGGCCATCTTGTAAACCCAAAAGGTAAGTCTCAATACAGTGGATGCAAGAGCCCAAAGATCCTGTGTCCTTGAGATTAACCTTTAGGACCACTCTTTTGTGAGACAATAAATGTCCTTGTGTTGGGTTTTCTGTTACTTGATAGCCAAAAATGGTTATCTGTCAAGCACTGGACTGGACACTTTGTACACATCATATAATTTAATCTTCACACTAGTCCTTCAAGATAAGTACTATTATCTCCATTTCACAGCAAGGAAATGGAGACCCAGAGAGGACTGAGCTGTAAGCATATCTCAGAATTTAACTGGAATCACGGTCATGGAGAAGGCTTGGTGTTTTAGCAAGGACGCACCTTGGATATGTAGAGGAGCTGTTGGATACGTGGAGCATTTTCCCTGCACCCCAAACTCTTCTCTCATCAGCCCGAGGAACCAGCACAAGCTGACCTGAAATCCTTTACCTGTGGCTTTGAACCCTGGGTGCACATTGACTCCCCTGGGATGATTTTAAAAATCTCAGTTCCCAGGCTAGAATTTTTTTTCACTAATTCTAAAAGTGCATCAATGACAATGATTTGTTTTAAAGAACCCGCTTTTTGTCTCATTAATTTTCTCTGTTTTTCTGTTTTCAATTCCATGATACCTATTCTTATCTTTATAATTTTCTTTCTGCTTGATTTGGGCTTATTTTTCTCTTCTTTTGCTATTTTTCTGTTTTCTTGAAGTAGAAACTTAAATTATTGATTTGAGGCCTTTTCTCTCTTCTAATCTGAATGTTCAGTGCTATAAATTTTCCTTTTAGCTTTGCTTAATTGCATCTCAGAAATTTTGATATGTTTTCATTGTAATTCAGTTCTATTTACTTTTTTTAAATCTCTTTTGAGACTTCCTCTTTGACCCATGATAATTCTTTTTTTTTTTAAAGTAGGCTCCATGCCCAACATGGGGCCTGAGCTCACAACCCTGAGATTGAGAGTTGCATGCTCCACTATCCAAGCCCCACACATTGATGATTAAGAAGTGTTGAGGCTGGATGCTTGGTTCATGGACCTGTTTTGAAAGCATGAACAGAACTATGGTTTTATTAGTTTGATTGTTAACTTAGCTCCATGTTCTGTTTAGCTCCCTACTTAATTATGCTCTTTGCACCTCTTGACATCATGCTTGACCAATCATTACCCCTATTCCTTACTTACCCAGTGATTGTAGAAACCTAATGGGGACAGGATGGTAAAATTTGTCTTGACATATCTGATTGTACCAGGTCCTAAATAGTGTCCCATTTTGCAAAAGAATGCTTACCTCCAGACTGTTTCAAGCCTCCCCATCCCTGGTTTCAAGAAACCCCTTACCTTCCTCTTATGTGGATAAGCTATCTGTAGGCTCAACAGAGCAAGGCTGCTTTGGGGAATGATTCTCTGCCTTCTCATTGGACTGCTCTTCTGACCATAAAGCTTTCTTTGCTTCAAAACCAATATTTCAGACATTGGCTTACTATGCATCAGGTGCACAGACAAGTTTGAATTTTGTAACCACGTGCTGCTAATTTTTCAAATGTTTGAAGATTTTTAAGTGTCGTTTTATTATTTATTTTTAGTTTGATTCCACTATGGACAGAATATACTCTATATGGTTTCACACTTTTAAAATTTGTTAAGATTTGTTTTATGATTCAGGATATGGTCAATATTGGTGAATATTCTATGGGGACTTTAAAAAGGTGTTTCAGGTTCTGCTACTAAGGAGCTCACTCTTGACTGATTGCTCCACCTGGGTCCCCCTTACGGAGTAGGAGCTGTACGTACTGATAGTGGGGAGTGGGTGCTGGAAGGTGGTCCCATGCCAGGCTGCTGCCACTCCCAAGTTTGTCCCCAGTATGGATCTTCGGCAACACAGACCCAAAGAGGATGAGATCTGAAATTTCCTGGTTGCCAGAATAGGTCTTCATCCCTGGGGAAGAAGGGAACTGCCATTCATCTGCTGAGCCCACCACAGCATCTCTTCTGCGACACAGAGCTGTATTAGAGAGGCGGGTTCTATTCTTCAGTGGCTTCCTAATGAAAGATCTTCTCTATGTAGTAGAAGTTGTGAGTAAGGAAACGAATGCCACCTAACTGCTCCCACTTACTTGTTATAGGTCTTCTACAGCATAGAGATATGGAAAATGGAATCTGCTCATGTTCGCTGTCTGACAAAACCAGCAGGAATACCTGTTTCACCCCCAGAGATCTGGGAGAGACGTGAACTGCCACTTGGTTGCCAAGTTCACTGAAACAGTTCTTCCAGAAGGCAGAGCTGTGGGAAGATGGCTACAATCCCTGGCTTGAATATCACAGATTTCTACTCTTCTTGTTACGTGTCCACACATTTTGCAGGATTAAGGTTTCTCAATTTGTTGTAAACCCCTCAATCAATCTCCAGAGATTTTGAACAATTGACTTTATTAATTTTGACCAGTTTAATAAGGGTCTTTGTTGGGGAATGGTTGCCCTGAACACCTCAAACCACCATTCTGGGGGTCCTCCCTGGGGTCCTTCGTCATGCAGCAGTAACTAGCTAATACAATGGCCACAAAGGAGGCATACCAAATTAAGACAAGCCATCAGTTAGATGGAGAGCAGGGAAGGCATTTCAAGCAGGAAGAACAGAAAGTGCAAACGTGTAGAAGGTGGCAGTACTAAGAGTTACAGAAGTGGCTCTCAAATGTGGTCCCTGCACCAGCACCATCAGTATCTCCTGGGAACTTGTTAACGATGTGAATTCTTGGAGCCTACTGAAGCACAGTAGGTGCTCCACAGTCTGGTGTTCAGCAAGACCTACAGGTGTTTCTGCAGCACATTAAAGTCTGAGGACCACTAGAGTATAGGAATTATTTTTCATTAGCCACGATAGCTTGGCTCCAAGTGGTTTTCCTTTTTTTGTCTCTTTTTTTAAGAAGTGAGAGATAAGGAACTAATAAGCACTTTCTCTTAGTGAATGCTTTGGGCCTCATTAGAGATAAAGGTTCTCTGATACCAGTCACAAGAAGTTGGTCATGCTACAGCAAGCAGAGGTTGGCTCCACTTTTGCCAGGAAGAAGTCACTTCTGAGTTTTATTTGACTCCAATTGTTTTAATGAGGCATCCTGCAGTTGCCCTGCATATGGCCCCATTGAACTTGGCGGGGCCTCTGATCCCATGTGTGGTGGGTGGTCACGTTACCGTAGCAGAGGAAATGTAGACATATGACATTAGCATGATTTAAAAGAGAGTGTTTAAATGGGCAAAAGTTATTTGAAAGAGTTAAAACTTATCCAGGCCTGAAAGAATGAAAGTAAGCTCAGATTGAAAGGGAGTGAAAGCAGCCCTGCTGTTCCCCGGGCTGGCAGAACAGACCCAGGTAAAGCCAAGAGCAAAGTCACAGAAAATCACATTTCTTCCAAAGTCTGGCTTGTGGTTATAAAATGCCAGAACAACCCCTGCTTTGAATGGCCACTGCTTTCTTACCAGTGATTCCCCTAGATCTGCTTTACTACACCCATCTTTTACTACGAATATCCACAGGCAGAATCATCCCTGCTCTCAATGGTATGCAAACCCTGATTCATTGTAGTTTCTCCTCATTCTGCCTCAGAAACTTCAACCAGCCCAGACATGATCCCCACTTCATTTTTTCCCTATTTATTTATTAAAAATTTTTTTAATATTTATTTTTGAGAGAGACAGAGACAGAATGCAAGCAGGGGACGGGCAGAGAGAGAGACACAGAATCTGAAACAGGCTGTGGGCTCTGAGTTGTCAGCACAGAGCCTGGTGGGGGCTCGAACTCACAAACCACGAGGTCACGCCCTGAGCCAAAGTCAGATGCTCAATGGATTGAGCCACCCAGGTGCCCCTGTTTATTTTTTTCTTTGAAGTTAACTCATTTTCAGAGAGAGGGAGAGAGAAAGAAAGAGAATGGGGGAGGGGCAGACAGAGAGAGATACAGAAAGCAGGCTCCAGGCTCTGAGCTGTCAGCACAGAGCCAGAAGGGGGGGGGCTCAAGCCTGCAAACCGCAGGATCCTGACCTGAGCTGAAGTCAGACGCTTAACTGACTGAGCCACCCAGGTGCTCCGGTCCCCACTTCCTTTAGACTCTCCTCAGATCATTCTGCTGGAGCCTTGACTTTACAAACTTCCTCCCTCCTACTGAGCAGCACTTCACAGCTGCTTTGATGTCACTAAACTCACATCAATAAATCTGATTTTGTTGGACTACAGTCTCATCCCTGGAGGTCCTTGTCTGATGAAGCTTTAATAGGAGGAAAATGGTCCCTTGGCCCTGTATTTGGGTGAAGGGGTAGTAGTGATTTTTGTTTGTTGTTTGTTTTTATTTGACTTCATTACCAGTTTTACATCCCAGAAAGGAAGCCAGAGGACTGAAATTTTCAATGATGACTTATCACATTTCAGATCAGACCCTATTTCTGCCTCCCCATATCATTAGGTATTTTCTTATAATAGCCCTACACAAAGATCTGAAATTATCAGTCATGAATCAAGTATGGCAATCTTTCATTTAATCAAATCACTAAAGTTATTAATAATACGAGCATTCTCCACCTAAGGAACTTGCACTGAGAATTACAACAAACCAAAGCTAAGAGCTTTGTGACTTGATTAATGCAGTGTCTCTGAATTATAAATCTAGTATATTACTTCTGTATCTCAAATATGGGCTAGGCACTTATCTTTGACATGTTCATTCTTCCATTCATGCAAACATTTTTTGAGAACCTTCTGTAAGCTGAATACTGTCCTAGGTCTCAGATCTTAAAAGGAATTAAACAGAGCCTCTGCTCTTAGGAAGCTTGCTAAACTAAGGTTGGGGAGAGAACCAGAGGGCAGCTGAAGTGAAAAGATGAAAAGTTTTGTGGATGAGGTCAAGAAATCCAAGTCCTGATGTCCACAGGGGCTGTGAGGCCAATCCAGATGACACAGGACATGAGATACAGATGGAGATCATGAACAAATTACTATATCCCTCAAGGGAAGAGAAAAGTACAGTCAGGATGTCTGTAGATGACAGAACTGAAGCGGGGATAGGATGGCTTAGCTGGAAGAAATGAGCTGCCCAGAAGTGCAGAGCTTTAGGGAAGGGTAGAGTACAATTGGTCTGGAATTCTTAAGGTGGTGAGGAGGACCCCTCCCCTGAAGGCATTCTGGAATACCTGGTACTGGACACTGAGCATCTTCTCCCACCCCACCCCCTTCCCAGAAAGAGAAAGGAAATGGAGGTACAGATTTCAGGAAGAGATTGTGGATAAAGAAGGCTTTTCATCCTGGTGCAAAGGTTGAGAGAGCCCAGATAGAGGAGTGGCCCTGGAGGACAGGGAGGCAATGGGAGGATGGCTGGGAGATAATTCTGGGGCAGAGTGATGCTTATCTCTTCTTTTGTGGGGGCTGTAGCAGCCAGCAGCATATGCTGTGACCATGGGTGTGGGGAGTAAATGGGTCCAATGGGTTGGGCTGCTTTGAGGAATCCTGAGGCACTGGGCTGAGCAGTCATGAGCAGCTATCAGGGACTGGCCTGGGTGGGAGCTCAAGCACCCTGTCTAAGGTCCTAAGGTTGATGCAAGCAGATGCCAGAGGTGGCTTTGAATCCCTGGGAGGGATCCCAACTGCATTAGATTGCAGTCCCTCCATTTGCATTGTCACAAGCCTTTCCCCTGTTTGGCAGCAAGCCATAGGGCCTGGAAGAAATTCAATTCAGTTATTAATTGAGCACCTACTATGTGCTGAGCATGTGTTAGAAACTGTATATATAGCATATACCTAGACAGCTGGGGTCCATGCCCTCAGGCCCTCGTGCCCTTTTGGTGTTTTAATATCTGGGCAGGAAGACATATTAAATCAGAAATTATGAGTAAGGAGTGGTTCAGGGGTGAAGCACAGCTCCCTAGAGGAGAATGTCAAGGAAAATCTTCCATGTGTGGGCCAACAGAGTCCCTGTGGAGAACCTTCTCACTAAGTTAGACCAGAGAAGCACTATGCTCCTTGCACCCCTGCCACAGTAGAAGAGAGTGGAACAGTCCATTCCTAAACAAGTCACTCATGATCCAGAAGGATTTCATACAGTGTTTTTACTTCAGGTTCCAGTCACGCCTTCTCATACTTTGAGAGAATATTCACAGGAATGTTCAGGAACAGAGTCTCCTTACTATTCAATTTACCTTCTCTCACCCAGTAACTCTTCAAAAGACACAGCCTTCACTTCACTTCTGGGGCAGCTCCTCCTAGCCAGCCCTTCTTGTAGCTACTGGGTCACCAACCCCTCCCTCTCTCTTTCCTCTTCTGGGTAGTCTGGTTCACTACCTCCTACCTCCTCTCAGCCTTCAATTTCAGTAGACGGCCATTAAGTTCATCAAAGCCCACTCAGATGAGGAGGACAAGGGGACACATTGGGTCCCACTGGTAGAGCATCTACTAGCCCCTGACAGGCTCTTGCACTGTTGATATCCTCTTCCCCCTCACATTTCATAGCATTAGTACTTTGCTAAAAGAATCCCTTCCCTGAAAACTTCCAGACTCATTCTATGAAGCCAGGATTACTTTGATTCCCAAACCAGACAGACACCTCACAAAAAAGGAGAACTACAGGCCAATATCCCTGACGAACATGGATGAAAAAATTCTCAACAAGATACTAGCAAATCGAATTCAACAGCATATAAAAAGAATTATTCACCATGATCAAGTGGGATTCATTCCTGAGCTGCAGGGCTGGTTCAGTATTCGCAAATCAATCAATGTGATACATCACATTAATAAAAGAAAGGATAAGAACCATATGATCCTGTCAATAGATACAGAAAAAGCATTTGACAAAATACAACATCCTTTCTTAATAAAAACCCTCAAGAAAGTCGGGATAGAAGGAAACATACTTAAACATCATAAAAGCCATATATGAAAAGCCCACAGCTAATATCATCCTCAATGAGGAAAAACTGAGAGATTTCCCCCTGAGATCAGGAACATGACAGGGATGTCCACTCTCACCACTTTTTTTTTATTTTTAATGTTTATTTTTGAGAGAGAGAGAGAGCAGCAGCAGAGCATGAGCGGGGGAGGGGCAGAGAGAGAGAGGGAGACACAGGATCTGAAGCAGGCTCCAGGCTCTGAGCTGTCAGGACAGAGCCCGATATAGGGCTCAAACCCACAAACCGTGAGAACACGACCTGAGCCCAAGTCGAATGCTTAACCAACTGAGCCACCTAGGTGCCCCTCACCACTGTGGTTTAACATACTGGAAGTCCTAGCATCAGCAATCAGACAACAAAATGAAATAAAAGGCATCAAAATAGGCAAAGAAGAAGTCAAACTTTAACTTCTCGCAGATGACATGATACTCTACATAGAAAATCCAAAAGATTCCACCAAAAGATTCCTAGAACTGATACATGAATTCAGCAAAGTCACAGGGTACAAAACCA